CCCAAATATTCCATTTTAACAGAAGAGGCACAAGGACACAAGCCATATTAGTTCTAGATTTGAAATATTTGACATGAACAAGATTTTAATTTATGTAAATGTAAATTACTATTATATATAAACTTCTAAGTATATATTACAAATTTTGTAATAGTAGCTCCTGAACATGTTGATCTTATGCCTTCTGAAGATGGTCAGCTGACAGAACACTTAAAACTAATAACTATCTACAAATTGAATCCTACTCACTGGTGCTAACAATTACTCTATAATTTACAATATTGTACTTTCCATAAAAACAATTTTGATGGAACAATAAAAATCACAGTAGCTGTAATACTACACAATTCAAGGACTATGAGATGGGCAGGGCATGTAGAGTGCATTGAACAAAAGTGTACACAGAGCTTTGGTAAGAAAATGTGAAGGAGACTACTAGAAAACCTTGACATAGACAGAAGGATAAACACAGTAACGAACCTTTGCATTCCATAAAACACTGGGAATTTCTTGGGTGGTTAAGCAATTGGTGGCTTCTCAAGAGAGACTCAGCTCCATGAAGTTGGTAATACTACATAACATCAATATGTCATAAAATTTCCCAAATAAAACATCTACTTAACATGGTCCCAGGTAAAAAGCAATTTGCAATGCAGCTGTATGAAAGAGAAAGATTCTGCATTAGAAATTCTTTAGGTTAAGAAACAGCAACTTTTCGGCACACCTTACCAGATTATTTCTAATACTGATGACATGTCTGTTCTTCCACTTCGTTTCAAATTTCTTACAAAAATAGACACATCTTGCTGCCAACACACATCTGTGAACGTGGAAAGTGCTGCCATGCACTACAAATGTCACATCGCTCAGCTCTCCAGTCTCCAGAAGTCTGAAATTATTCATATGTTCCTTGGTTAGTTTACATTTACATTTATTTTCACTTCATAGACCCAATCACTTCCCCATAGGGCTGGATATAAAACATGTCACACATTACAAATTCATGATGACTACACATCATACGTCCTTGGTCCAATAAAGATAATCAGGCCTCACACAGACAGCACAAGTTGTCAAGACAACACACATAGGCCGTGGAGAAACCACTGTCACATTCGACCCTGAACAAAATCCCTCATATTTCCAACTATGATAACTCTATGCTGCATAATTGCACACCTTCCCATTCCACACATATTGGCTAGCCATATCATCAATACAGTTTCACTGTAACATATTAAAATTCATAACAAACACAGGCACCATACATACTGCCACACTTACAGCGAGCAAGTCTCAACAATGTATATTACGAGCACACAGACCATTTATCAACTCTTAAAATTTGAGCCCCTTGCATGCTCCACAAATTCGTCAGTAGAGTAAAATGAGTTACTTTGCAAATAATTTCATAAAACAAACCTGAATTGATTTTTATAATTTTTTAAAGCTGATATATTTTATGGCGAAGTGTTAAATAGCTTGATGCCTGAATAATACACCCCTCTCTGATAGGATGATAAATGTGTTGAAGGTACGTGAAAGTGGTCATTCCTCCTGGTACCAATCACATATACAGAGTTACTGGTCTGAAACTTATCCATAGTATTAACAACAAATGTCATCAATGAGAGCAAATGTACACGTGGGATTGGTAGTAAGCCAAGCTTCTTAAATAGGCCTCTGCATGTATGAGTTGGGCCCACTCCCATCATTATTATCATTGTGTATAACAAAGACCTTATGACTGTCTGATGTATTTCCCCAATATATTAAGCCATCACGACAAGGATCGTAACAGATCCAGCAGCATCAGAGGACGCAGAAGAACAGTGAGACCTCCAAAAAAAGTGAAAGTGCAACCAATATAATATGAAGGGGGACCCAAAAATAACCGGAACCGACCTGTTGCGCGTGCATGCTTTGTAGTTACGAGTTGTGCTGCTAGGTGGTGTTAGCTGGGGGTCTCCGCGACTGTTAGTGAGTGTTGTGTAGTCAGTAAAATTGACTCTAATATTGATAAAACTGATGAACTGATTTGTATGTTAATTAGTCATGACTTAAGCCCACATGTAATTTGTATAAGTGAAAATTACTTAACTGAGCAGAAATCTTTATTCTCAAACCAGAAAATTATTGTTTAACCTCCCAGTTCTTACGATCATTAAGTAATGGTGGAGGTGTTTGTATATATTGTATATTGGATACGGACCGTAATCCAATTGATATAACACAATACTGCATGGAAAAGGTGATTGAGGCCTGTATAGTCTGATTAAATATTGGTAATAATTATTTTATAATACTATGTATTTACAGATCTCCTTGTGGAAATGTAGAAGAATTTATTAAGCAATTCGAACTAATACTAAAATCTGTTTACAAGCCTAAACTTGAATTAATAATATGTGGAGACTTTAATGTAAATTTTTTAGAGAATTCAACTACACCTCTTCAACTTATTTCACTATTTCAGACGTACAACCTGTTTCGGGTTGTCGAATTTCCAACTAGGATTACAACCGATACCAGTACTGCTATTGATAGTGTATTTTTGGATTACAGCAGATTAAATACTTTACAGGTGGACTCAGTAATCACTGGGCTTTCAGATCACGATGCTCAGTATTTGACTGTTAGTAATGTTGTGAACCGCCACAGGAATAAGAGTGGATTACTTAAAAGAAGAGTTATATCTGAGTCTGGCACCATAACTTTTAGTGAGATGTTGAGTAAGGAAACATGGGAAAGTGTTTTAAGTAATCCTGATGTTAACAAAAGTTTTAATCTATTTTTTAATATCTTTTTAATGATTTTTTAAACATGTTTTCCAGCGAAATTTGCCCAAAATAATGTGTACTCTAACCAGTGGATCACTAAAAGAATTAAAATTTCATGTAAGCGAAAAAAATATTTGTATTTGATGATTAGATCTACTAATTACCCAGGCTTAAAGGAGTATTACACGCGATATTGTACATTGCTGAGAAAAGTTATCAGAAGAGCTACAGCTATATATTATGAGGGAATAATAATGGCTGCATCTAATAAATCCAAGGAGTCCTGGAAAGTCATAAAGAGAGAAAATGATAGAGAATCAAAGAAAAAAACATTCATATTCAGAAATGAGATAAGGTAATGTAATAATCGATAGTAGGAATGAAGCTAAGGCATTTAACTCATATTTGTTTAGTTCAGTTAACAAATTAGTTCGTCACAGTTCTAATAATGTATGTTTTTTACCACTTTCATGTGAGTACTCTACAGATGAGATTTCTGAAATTGTAAATATTCCAATTACTGAGGCAGAAGAAGTATTAAGCACGATAAATTCATTAAAAAATAAATCTTCTTGTGGATATGATGGATTGTCAAATAAAATTATTAAATTATGTGGTGAACAGATAGCAAAACCACTTACTTATATTTATAATCTTTCTGTAAGTTTGGGCATATGTCCTGACCGATTGAAATATGCAAATATTATACCACGTTTTATGAAAGGTGATGTTACTGAAATTGCCAACTATAGACCAATATCTTTATTGACAAGCTTCTCTAAATTATTTGAAATATTAGTGTTTAGCAGGCTTAAAACAGCATTTTATAAGAAATGATATCCTGGATCCTGAACAGTATTGGCTTTCATAAGGATGTTTCTACACAAAACCGCTGTCTTTAATCTAACTGATGCTGTTCTTAAAGCATGGAACAATAAGGAGTTTGTGGTAGGTATTTTTTGTGATCCGACAAAGGCCTTTGATTGTGTCAGTCATGATCTGTTGATTCAAAAGTTGAAGATGTATAGAGTCAAAGGGCCTATTTTGAAATGGTTGGAGACTTATTTAAAAAATAGAATGCAGAGTTGTGCTGCATACTTGTAATTTGACTACTACAATCTCTGAATGGAAATCTGTAAGGTTTGGTGTTCCCCAGGGATCTGTCCTGGGACCAATGTTGTTTAATGTTTATATTAATGACTTCCCAGGGACTCTCAAGGATATAGTATGTACTATTTTGTACGTGGATGACACAATTTTAATTACCTCAAATGAGCTAAACTCTTTGAATATTAAATTAAATAGAGTTATGACTAGGGTTTCAAGCTGGTTTCGAAATAACAATCTGGTACTTAATTTCAGTAAAATTCACCTGATTAAATTTGTGACTCCTAACTCTCCAGAGTATACATTATCGGTAACATCTAACAGTTTTAGACTTAAAGATGTTGATAATGTTATTTTTTTTAGGTATGTATTTAGATTGTCAACTTACATTGAAAAAACAATCTGAAAAATTATTAAAGAAACTGAATACAGTGTGTTTTATGGTCAGGAAGATACAATCCCTTGTTAGTGAACAAGCTCTTTGAATGGTCTATTTTTCTTATTATCAGTCTCAGCTTGAATATAATATTATATTCTAGGGTTCTTCTCCATTTATGAAAAGTTTATTTGTTGTCCAAAAAAAAGGTGATTAGGGTTATGCTAAGATTAAGTCCTGGAAACTCTTGCAAAGGTTTTAAGAGGTTGGGTATTTTGACAGTTCCTAGCCTATATATCTATTCTATATTGATGTTTGTTGTTAGAAACCATAATTTTTTTCAACCCAACAATAATATTCATCATATAAACACTAGACAGTTTGGAAAGCTACATGTGTCATCAGTGAGATTATCTTCAATCCAGTGAGGCGTGTTATATTCATCTATTATGGTTTATAACAATCTTCCTCAAAATATACAAAAGATGAGTGATAATGTGAACATTTTCAAACACACACTGAAAAGTTTCCTCACAACAAATGCTTTTTATTCAATAGATGAATATATTTCTGCTAAGCATGTATAACATTTAATAACTACAGAGTGCGGCGCAGAACCTTCCTTTTTATGAAGGCGAATAAAAGAAAATTTATTGCTGATAGGCAAAATTTTTGTTTAGCTAATGAAAGAACATACTTTAAAGTGTTAAATCATGTAGTTTTAAAAAAATATCTTGAAGGTGGTGGCCACCATTCTCTATGCACTGATGTAACCATTTTCTAAAGTTCCCCTCTGCACGTTCCAACATGTGCACTGGAATTTGGGCTACTTCCTGCCGAATAACATCCTTCAGGTGAAGCAGGTTTGTGGGGCGATGTTTAAAAACCTCTGCCTTGAGGTATCCCCATAAAAAAAATCACAGGGCATTAGATCAGGTGAGTGCGCTGCCCCTGGGATGTCACCTCGAAGCGAGATGAGCCATCCAGGGAACTTTGCCCTCAAAACTGTCATCGAAGCTCGGGCTGTGTGGGCCGTGGAACCATCCTGTTGGAACCAGACATTTCCTAGATGCATTTCTTCAAGAGCTGGTTCGAAAAAGTTTTTAATCATGTCCACATAACGCTGTGAATTGACAGTAACTGCATGATTGTCTTCTTCAAAAAAATAAGGGCCAATAACTCCAACTCTCAACAACGCACACCATACTGTCACCTTATCACTGTGAAGTGGCCTCTCATGGAGCTCTCTGGGATTGTTTCCACTCGAATAGCACATATTCTGCTTGCTGACATATCTGGATATGTGCAAATGTGCCTCACTAAAGAAAACAAGTGCGTCAGGGGGTAAAGTTTCCAATAATGTTTCACACGCCATTATTCAGTTCTGGAAATCATGTGGTATCAATTCTTGCACAACAACCATCTTATAGGGATGGAAATGAAGATGTTCATGAAGAATTTGGCGTATTGAACGACTGGAGATGTCTAGGGCGACTGCATGTTTGCGAGCGGAGCATCTGGGAGATCTCAAATTCGACTGTCGAACTGCCTCCACATTTTCTGGCATCATAACGATCCGTTGTCGTCCTGATAATTTTTTCACCACACTCCCGGTTGTCCTAAAGTTCTCTACCCACAAAACAATCGATTTCCGGTCGGGAACCGGACCTCTGGGCTTAATTCCGAAGTGAGTATGGAACGCATGCTGCTCACTCATCCACTTCATGTTTCCTACTGAGGGGTATTAGACAGAAACTTCCACGACTGCTGCGTTCGCCGAGCCTATCCCCACTTTTCTGCGACCTCCCCTCCCTTCACAATGCGCCTTCACAAAAAGGAAGTTTCTGTGCCCCACCCTGTATATTCCTTGTAATTTTGTTTATGAATGACATTGTAAATTATGGTTATTTAGTGCTTTTGGTTGTGTGTGGTTGGTTGTTGTTGACACGACTGTACGTCCGCAATAAAGTCTTATTTTGACGAGTTCAACATCCGGTCCAATTCGGACAACGGATGAGTGAATTTATTAATTATGTATGTATGTATGTATCTGCAAACATAATAACAGTGGGCAATAAACATCTGGGATATGCTTGACTTGGCTCTCAACTAGAAGAGGCCCTATTTTGACTAAGCAACTGTAAAGACAAATACTTAAGTGTCCAGCCCATACCATACTCACTAAACCAACTGAATTAACACAGCTACTCAATATCAGCTACACTTCATAAATTATTTATCATTTTGGTTGAAACAAATGTCATTAGCCCAAACAAGAACTGATGGTGCCTATCAACTACATCTTCCTATTCTTCTCCTCCTAGAGTTCAACCACTGTTTATCTCTAACATCACATCTGTAATATCTCACCTCCTCAAAAATTCATCATACAAATCTCTCCGCATCGTGTGACTTGTGACAATTTTATAGTTCAACAGCATTCTTCTAATTTGATCTGTTAATGCTCCATATAAACAACGTTCACCATCAAATGTATTTGCTTCACACCTAGCTCCATTAGCCAACAGATACTGTACGATATCAATGTGGCCACACAAGCAAGCATAATACCTGAAAATGACATGAGTAGATGTTAAACACATCTCATAGTTATACAATAAAAAATTAAGGTTATGCAATAACATTTTAAGACATGCCTGCAGATAAAGTACTAATTTCAAACAACTAACCATACTTGCAACCTACTATAAAACTTACAGGGGGGTGCTATCCCATTTGTCACGGACATTGAGATTCACTTCCTTCTGTTCTACAAGGTACCTGGAAAAAATTAGAGATTTTGAACTAGAAATTCTAAGTAACAAATCATGTGAAGAGTTGAAACATTAAAAAAAAATCTTAGCCAGAACTACTTAAATGTAGTCCTGAACTCCACGCACACTTCCTGGTTTTAATATAACTTAATCAAATGTCTATTCAGCTCAAAAATTGTCACATCAAATGTCACCTTGAGACGAACAAGTTGACAATAAACCTTACTCTATTCTATTCAGATCTCCTCTCTTACAACTGTAAAACAAATCATTCGCATCCATAATAACACTACGTTCACAATAACTTTGTCTAAGTTATTTCAATTCAGCCCACCATTTACGCCACAATAAACACACTTTTCCCTTTCCTCCACCCTTCCTTTCGCTATCAAACCGATCAAACCTTCCACGACGGTTATTGGCCAGAGATCACACGAATAAACAACACACGGTTCACCGAATACACAGACGATATAGACCATATAGACAATCCCATAGTTAATCGAAGGAACATTTACCACAACGGGTCACTTTCGAGCAGGGTTTACAATTTCTTATCTTGCTTTCTTGTACTAGGCATATGCGATTCCTCCCCGCCCCGCCCCCCTAACTTTCGTATGCCAGATTCAGTGTTTCTGAGACTTCATACGTACAAGGTGCGACAATTTAATTCCCGGAATGGCCCAGTGGAAGCAAAATTTGTTTACCTGTGTAATAGTGGCTGCTGACGCTTTCGAAATACTCTCCATGTGAAGCCATGCACTTCGTTAGACGATGGTACCACTGCCTAAAACAGTCTTGAAAATCGTTTTCCGGAATATTTCACAGTAACGTTATCACGTTGCATTGGATGTTAGGAATGTCAGCAAACTTTGTTCCTTCAGGGTACTTTTTAATTTTGGAAAGAGACAAAAGTCGCAGGAGTCTAAGTCAGGTAAATTAGGTGGATGGTCAATTTTTGTACTGCATTTCTTAGCCAGGAACTCGTGAACTCTTAACGCATTATGCGCATGAGCATTGTCGTGGTGGAGAATCCATTTGTCAGACCAGAGTTCGGGTCTTTGTCTCCGAATAGATAACCGTAACCTTGTCAGCACTTCAAAATAACACTATTGATTCATCGTTTGTCCTTGAGCAATGAATTCATTATGAACTACCACCTTATGATCGAAGAAATATACAAGCATGGTCTTGAACTGGAAGCGAAGTATGCGTGCTTTTTGTGCCGAGATGAATTCTCTGTTTGCAGCTAAATGTTCGGGTGTTTTGTTTTTTGTCGTACTCTGTCCACATTTGCATCTGTCCTCTGCGTTTTTGGCTGCCCACTTCTTGGGTCATATTGCACAAGCTCTCGCCCTTCCTTGAACATCCTATGTCATTCAAAAACACTCGATTTCTTCATAGCGTATTCACCATAGGTCATTGTTAACAGGGCTAAGGTTTCACTAGTACTTTTCCCAATATTCACACAAAACTTGATGTGTATCCGCTGCTCCAGATTTGTGTCACTCATTTCTCCGCCAAAAGTATACCATGGACACGTACTATTTCCTCTGCTGCTTGGGAACGAACGGCTCATTTGGTCAGTGGCTTATATAAACGCAAGTTGGAAAGTGTCCAGAAGTGCTTGGGTACAGGAGTTTGCCTGGCTCAACACTCCAGAGACACGCTGCGGCAGCTAAGGGAATTAAATTGTCGCATCTTGTATATCTCTAATTGAAATTGGAAGGTGCTACGCATGGAAATGAATGTGGAGAAAACAAAAGTAATGAAAATTTCGAGACAACCAACCCTAGTCACAATAAAGATAGACCAAAAACAACTGGAGAATGCGAAATGTTTTAAATATTTGGGTAGCTTGTTAACAGATGATGGAAGGTGTACTAGTGAAATTAAATCCAGGATTGCCATGGCAAAAGCTGCATTTAGCAAGAAGAAGAATCTTTTTACCAGCAAATTGGACTTAAATTTGAGGAAGAAACTAGTGAAATGCTACATTTGGAGCATAGCTCTGTATGGGGCTGAAACATGGACACTT